ATGAAAATTTTCGACAATAAACCATAAAATGGGAAATTAAGGAACAAAAAAAAGCAGATTCACTTGGGATAGAATGCAACTGTATCCTCAGCATCACGGATTTTTTAGTAGATTTATTCGGAGCGCTCGAGGCGACAATATGAACAGCCAGCATTTCTGCTTATAAAATAAAAAGTTGGAATATAATCTGTTTCAATACAATATAAATCATTCGTCAAATTATCAATTCCTTGAAAAGTTAACGTTATGTTATCAGTATATTTGTAGCATAATATATTGACGACAAATATAAATTTGCGATTCTCTTTTTTTCTCGTTTTTAGCAAATTTATACTGTTCGTAACGATTATTTCATAGGAATTTTTTTAGTTTCGTCCACGAGCAAGATTTGAAATACTGGAATTAAATTTTTTGAATAATGATAATATAGAATAATTTAAATAGTTCGCGGTAGTGCATTTTTATGTGGCCATTTATTAGTTTCGCTTTATTGTGTGTGAAAGTAAATCGAAGGTTCTAAATGGAAATGCAACGGTCTCATTAATCTCATTGTTTGCTATGTTATGTACATAGTGATATGTGGGCAAAATTTTTATTTGCTAGGAGAAAAATTTTAAACAAAAAAATTACTAAAAGAATTTTGGTTGTAGCGTTTTTTACTAGGCGTTTGTCGGCTTCAACTATCGGCAAAGTAATTCTCATAGCCTTATAGCAATCATTATTTCAAATAAGGCTTGCTCCATTGCTTAATGAGATAAAGCATTTGTTAACGATTCATTTGAAGTAGACGTGCAGTTCCAAATGGCTACACAAAAGATTATGATATATACGAAATCACTCGGATAACTGTTATAGCAATGGTAGCGTGCTAGAAATGCGTTTTTCTGGTTGACGAAGCCTCTATGGAGCCGTCGTAAAATTACGACAATTAAGACGAAAGTCTGTGACCATATAGCTGTACTTCGCTCGATCTTGTTATATGGTTGCGAGACATGACCAGTGAGAATGGGTGATATTAAGAACCTACCTCTCCTTTGATGCTTTGACCACTCATATCTAAGATATATTTTACTGAGTTCGTCAAGTGGATAAAATCTCACATGCGCTCAAATACCACCTACATTAACAATACCATGACAGAACATCGTCTTCACTGGTTGCGGTTCACCACAGAAGTTGGCATACATTTCGCTACTTGCTAAATACGGGTGATGGATGATGTCAAAAGCGAGGAGGACAAATCAAAACCTGGATTGATGCATCATAAAAATTAGCATATAGGACCAGCGATATATGGAATTAGACGGTGGAAAAAAGAATGGTTTCTATTACCATGAAGATGGTATCAAATCGTGCGAAAATCGAGCTTGGAAACGTCCTTGAAATAGTGGTGTTAGCCTAACCAGTAATGGTGAGAGCTATTGGAAGAAGGAAAATCACCAGCCCATCAGTATTTTTCAGTGGAATGATTATTAGATTAATGAATCAATTGATTTAATTCATAAAACTTTTTACACTTCCCACGAAACTTTTCAATCTTCTCTAAGCTGACCAGCATATTAAATTGCCAAATTATTCTGAAATCTTTCAAAGTTTAATTTTTCTGGTTGGAAATTTGACAATTAACAATGAGTTTGCTATGAGCAGCTTACTTAGAGGTATTTAAAGCTGAGAGAAAAGCTTAGCATTTTTTTCTATTTTTTGCAATCTGCTTAAGTTGGCTCCGCTGGTTATAAATGCCTTACAAAAGGTTTAAATAATTAATGGTAAGGAAACATAGCGATTTTCAATTCAAATAAAATTTTATTGTTCATTAACCATGAACTACAAACCTGCTGCTAAGCGATTCTGTTCGCAAAATCGGCTATAAGAGTTCCATGTCTGTCGCTAAGATCTTCGGTTGACAAATTTCTTTGGCTTCATCTATTATTGGAACTTCTGCTGTTGGCATAGACAGGTTTTATTATCTTGATATTTATTTGAACGTCTTTATTTTGGATAGAATCACAGATTTTATATTTGCAGTCCATTTCCAAAGTTTATTTATCATTATTCAGTAATATATGGAATATGGTGATAATTGATAATTGCTACCGAAAATAGAGGCTTTGGTTCGAATCGGCCGACTCTTCCTTGGGCTGCAATGTTTCCTAATGGAAAAAAAACAAAGGAGAGTAGAATGGCTCAGTGGGTCCTTCCTCAACTAAGAGCGCCGATATTAAGGTTCCATTCCAAGTGGAAGTAAATTTGTCTAAAAATCCTGGCAACTTACCTGTACTTCCACTCTCCGCCAAGGGATTCCTCAGGCATTTTTGATCACTATAGAGATAAATTATTTTGAAAAAAATGGATAAATAGTTTTCAAATAAATTTCAAAATCCCTTTATTGTTGATTTCATGAAAAATTTTCGGTAAATATACGCCGCCATCATACTCACCTTTATGATTAACATTAAATATGACTCCTAATAGGGGATAGAATGGCCAGTGGATTTTGCTCAATTGGGAACGCCGATGCTGAGGTTCAATTCCCCGAAGGAATAAACCTGTACAAAAATCCGGGTGATGCTGGCGACTCACCTGTATTTCTATTGCCAAGGGATTCCCTGGCTTATTGCCCAATGCGACAAACCAATGGAGCGAGTGTAATGGTGAGGATTCTTGAAAAAAAAAAGTGCATGACTTTATAATAAAATCATTATTTTGTGCCAAATGTTTCAGCACAGAACTATAGTGCATGAAAAACATGAAAAACTTATACCCCTTTTCTTAAGTCTAAAAATTTTTTACAAAATTATTATTTATTTGTTAACACTGATATCCGATGATACTTCGAACAGTTGTCAAGCAAAATATTCTTAGGATAAGTTTTCGAATGATCGGAGCAAAAAAAAAAATATTTAATTTGTGCGGCTAACAGTCTAACAAGCACAGCTAAGGAACAAATTTTAGAGAATTCCGCAGCTGTCAGTCTGTCACAAATTGAATATCATAAAAATTGAAGCCGTTACATAAAAATTGGATAAATCGGGTTAAAATCGAGAGCAAATCTTCAACCTTCCCATCTCTGCTTATTTCTTATTACTTTCCTTCAACCAAATTTTTGTATTTGCAATATATCGTTCCATTAAATGAGGAAAATTAAAGCAATTATATTGCTTTGCATTCTGCTATATCTCCAGTAGAATTTTTTTGAATGAAATTCAATAGAACTGTCGGTCAAATATGAAAGATCGTTCCATGCATCTCTACTGAATAGATAGATGTTAATAAAAAAATTATTTTCATTAGAATTTTTATTGGGTTTTGTTTTGTTTACAAAAAGAGGGAGATACTAGAATGACTGTTCTACTGCTTCGACTGAGATCAAACCACCATTCGACCTCTATCAAAGGAGAAAAAGAGAGAGGAGGAGTTTTGGTCGAAAAGATTTCTTGGATCATCAATTTTCAACAATTTCCGATTTGTTAAACTATTATTATTAGCTATTATTTTTCATCTATCTTTATTTCAGAATAAAATTTTGTCAGAAGCAAGCAATATATGTATATATTGGTTAATTTCATAAAAAAGTATTTGGGCAAAAAGACCAAAGCTTTATGCTAAATTAATCTTCTTTTCTAAGAGTGCTCATTAATGATAATCTTTCTCCGTTGGTTAGTGGGACCAGAAAAATTCTACCAGAGAAGCGATAGAAGAAAAGATGAATCGAAGGTATCAAGCACACTTTTTGAAGGACTTTCAATCCTGCTAGGTGTAGAATCTCCATAGCATAGGTGCACGAATGGAAGTAACAGTTTGCAAAGTCTTTCTTTCTTTCCCTTTTTGACATTGCCTTTCAACATTGCCTCTTGACGAGGCATGAGCTGGATTCAAACTCGCAACTCTCGATTCTTGGTAACACTTATTTGCCATTAAGCCAGCCATGCACTCATTTGATTGAATACTGAATTTGTGCGACATCTTTATAACTTTTCATTCATCAGTTTTTATCGACTTTACAGTCAACAAGTAATTTAACCAGTGCATATGTTTTCAACAAGAAAATGAAAATAAAGATCCAATTAGAAATGCAAAAACTGAAAAATTAAAGCTGAAAAATTAAATGGCTTAAATGTGACCAAATAACAAAATTTGGTCAAAAAGGAAACCCAACGATTTGAATTTCATTCGTAGTTATTCTAACTTTTTAAAAAATAAACTTTGCTACCGTTGGATTAATTTTAAAGTGAATAAAAGAGGGTGAACATAAAAGTGAACAAGAAAGGGTGAATAAAAAAGGCAATGTATATGTATAATTAAAGCATCTGGATAGCATGCATCTAGATAAAGATGTAAATATAGTACAACAATAAACTTGAGTTTTGTGATGAAAAATGTGGATTTTCCAGAAAACTATAGTGTAACAACAAATGAAACAATATTTAAGCAAGCAGATTACAAACAATGAAGACTAATCTATCATAATGAACTGTACAAAAATACTCTCTGCATAATTTTATAGTGTTAAGAATCATTTTACTGGAATTGATCGTTTTATCGTATATACACAATAGCTTTCCTAAGTGATTTACTGGAGTCCTAGTTTCTTATAATTTTAAATAAATACTTCTTTTAAATTTGGCATTCCGCTAATGAACTTTCGCCTAAAAGAAAGAAAGAATATTCTGAAGAATATAAGAATAAGAATTCAGAATATTCAGAAAAACAAGAATGATGGAAAGGTCTCTGATAGAGCAGTGCAAAGCAGTAATAATTAATAATAATTATAAAATAGTAAACAAATTGTAAATCCTTGAATTAACTTCTCATCTTTAGACCGTATTTACAGTCATTCTGTTATGAATGCCATTTTCTTGTATGGGAGCTTCATATGAAATGAAGAAGCTTGGCCCTGGAAAAACCTCGGATTCTGTTGTTTGCAAATATATTCAAGGAGTTACCATGGTGTTTTGAGTGAATATATTGAGAAATTCTGAGACTAGTTGGTACATAAAGGATCAAAGCATCTTGTTATTGATAGCGTATTGTGCCATTGACAAAAATGCAGAAAGCATTTCTTCGCCTGATAAAATAAATAAATTGAATTGCTTTTATTACATTTCTTATTATAATATTATTCGCTTTTTGGATTTTTTAAAAATCTTTGGGTAATAAAGTACATATTATATTATACATTAAATTAAGCAGATTATACACATTTTTTGCTTAAATAAAGGCAAAGTGCGACATCTTTATAACTTTTCATTCAGTTAGCGACTTGCGTCTTACCTGTTGGTTTGATATACCTGGCTGGTATGGTGAAACCAGAAACGTTATCACCATCTTCTGGTCGCAGTTCGATCCCGTATATATAAGGAACACCTTTATCTTGCATGTAATCGATACTAGTTCCAGAAGCTGTATCTAAAGAAATTTTCAAATTTTCATTTCTATTTGGAAGCACACAGATGACAGATCTATCGGTCAGTTCAATGTTTTTGATAAAAATAAATTAAAAGTAAAAGAAAGTAAAAAAAATTTGCAAAGCCCATGTGGTGCTAAACAAATTAGAAATGGTGAATATTGCTAGAAGAGGATGAATATAAGCTCAATTAAAGAAAAAATTCAAGAAAAAGAAATCACTGACTCGAAAAAATTGTACGCACATTTTTTCTTGAGATCACGATCTTTAAAACATGGATCTTTAAAACACCTCAACTGACAATTAATTTTTTCGCTAATTAGTTAAAAGTCTTAAATTTTAACTTACACATTAATTCAGAAATTGTACCGTGATTGTAATTAGCACCAGTTCTGTTACGAATTGCATCAACAGCCAGTTGAGCTGCTGCTTTCTGCAACTTATTTTATCCTGTAGCGCAATATGGAAATACTTTTTGCTTATTAATACTAGATTTGCCCATGTTGCATTATTACCTACTGTTGTAGCTTTTCTTGCTTTAAGTTTTTTTAGACTATGATGGTTATAAAATTATGATGAAAGGAAAATTGCATCACTATGGTATTTTTTAGGTTGTATGTCAAGGAACTTTAGGAAGGAAGGAAGTTTAGAACTTGCTCAATTAATCTTTACTGCCATACGAAAAGTCTTAAAGCTGAATGGGTTCGAATAATTAAAATCGAATTACAATGACTTTATATTTTACCTGGTCGTAATAATTCTTCGGTCTATCATGCGTATATCCCCATGGAGCCAAAAGCAGTTGACCATAGCTATGTAAACTGACGTAGATCTTGAGATCCGGTATCTGCCAAGTTATATAATCTCTAATTCCCGCTACTTCAATTTCACTAAAAGGTTTTGATCCTGGATATATATTTGAACATGGACTTCGATTCGCTCCCGCTTCTGAAAAAAATTAAATTTCATTTGACCTAAAATATAATCAATTTAGCTTCGAAAATTTTGTTTCTCGATCTTTTTTCTCGGTCAGAACAAGTGAATGAAAAAATGTAATTAATACCTCCCCAGCGATAGCCCCAATTGCGATTGGCATCTGCTCCAACGCACCATTTATTAATGGTGAGATTGCGTGATCTTGTCTTTCTCCACAGTCGATCCTAGAATTTGTTTATTAACCATTCAAGACAGAAGAACGAGAAAAGAATTATAAATATGCTTTAACTGGATCGGCAATACTTCAGCCATTTGTTCTTAAAAATTGAATTTTCGCGTTAAAATGTCGAAATCAATTAAGAAATAAGATTTATTCCATTTTAGCAAATTTAAAAAATAACCGTTGTCATACTGTATTCGTAACCATCTGGATTTGCCACAGGAATAACGTACCAATCAAATTTATCGACCATTTTAGTGATAATTTCATCTCTGCCATATCTCATGATCAGCTGGAATTCTGGCAATTCTAGTTAAAAACCTTGAGGACTGATCAATCATTAATAAAAAATTGATTGGAAAGATTTAATAGTAATTTCTCTAACCTTTTCCCATTGCGACTGGCAAAACTATCCATACAATTGTTCTTTCCTAGAACTATTTCTTTGAACAATAATAAAATAACTGCAACGACTGACTCATTTTCAAAAAAAGTAACCTTTTGTGCGACGTAGATCGCGACGGCAGGTGCAATCCATTCGCGGGCATGTATTCCAGCGTCAATAAATATAGCTGGTTTATAAGGTGATTTTTTACCGATCTAAAATATGCAATGAAAGAAATTCTCCTAAAATTTTTAAAAAATTTTCAAAAAGAGAAAAATTCGAATAGAAAACGAAAGTATAAAACGAAGAAAAAAGCTTAGAAAAATGAAATGAAATGAAAAATAATTAAAATTGAAAATTGAAATCGGAACGACGGTCGTTGATGTCGAAATGGGCTACGAAATATTAAAATATTATTCTTGAATGTCCTTGGAAAGTCTAATATTAAGGATATTTGTAAAGAAGCAAAACGTCTTTAAGGAAACCTTTAATCCAACCATATCGCGCTTTTCGAACGTTTTTGTAATGTTGATGGTCGTAACCAATTCCGGAAATATTTCAGCAAGATCATAAATAAAGCGCGCAATCTCAAATATTCATTGGCAGAGATAATAAGAAATTAATTAATTTTTGGAAAACTAAATATTTCCTTCTCTCATAATTTGCAACTATTTAGTTATTTATTAAAACTGATAGCCATGAAAATTTCAATCTGAACCAGAAGATGTTCATTTATTATTATTTTTCTAAAAGTGCTGATTTATAATTTATGCAGTTAAAAATCAGAGACAAATTCTTTCAGCAGAATCACTTTAGGATAAAAGTACAAATGAGAGCTTAATACTATTCGCATTTCACTGCCAATTTTATTTCAATGAAAGGAGTGGTGAGGAAGATTTTCCTACCGATTATTTTTATAAAGTATAATTCGCTCTTAACTAAATCTCTTTGTTACTTTATCGTAACGATGGTAAGCAATGAGATTGAAGTCATTTATATTTGATACGCTATTAGAGCTTCGCTTCGATCGTTCAGTAGATCTTTGTAAATCTCTTTTCTGGCGATCAATCTCACTGAAATTACTTTTTTGAAAACAGCTTTCACCTTCAGTTGCTTAAGTTATTTCTGGAAAGCTGCCGGTTCTTATTCTTCCTTGATTATTAAATGAATTAAAAGGAAGAAAAAACCAGATGAAATTTAATGAGCCATTCAGCTTATCTCGGCTTTAATTTGTAGAAACATGAAAATTATCTCAGAATAAACAACATAATTTGTTTAATTTTTCAGATTTTTTTTGATAGTAAAATCCTTCACTTATAGTACAAACGAACAAAAAACAAAAAACAAACGAAAACTACATTTAAAAAGAAACTTTAGAAATTTGATCGAAGAGACCAATTTCCTCGGTTCATCGTTTTGATAAATGATTTAATGAATAAAATTTTATAGTTTCAGCAAAAATATTAAAAAAATCACTATGAGGGACCTAATAATTTTATACTTATCATTGTATGGGTAGAAAAGAACAAACCGTTGAATATCGTGCTTTATGATTCTGAAAGCAGTGATGTTTTGATCTTTAAGTAAACGAAGGAAGGAATTTATGAATTTCGGTGCAACAAGAACATCAGCGTATTCTCGATATTTATTCGGTTCTGACCATATATCTATTAAAGGTCCACTGGACTCATCGAACTAAAAATATTATAAAGTAAGCACTAAAAATTTGTGGAGTAGTTAAAAAATAATTTAGAAAATTATTATTATTATTGTTCAGAAAATTTTACCAGAATGATTCAAAATGGATTTATAAATGAAAATACGTGGTCAAAATTAATTAGTAAATGTATAATTAGGATCGTTTCAAACCTTTCAACCACGTCTTGTTTCTATTATGAAAAAAAATAACAAAATTTATAGAAATGTTAGAAAGGAAAATGCTACGTAATCATTGCCGATTGCTTGATTATCAATGTTTTCGAGCCAACCAATATCTTTCGTTGGAAATCTCAACAGTTTGTAACTGTAAGGAAATGCATTTGTTAATAGAAATATTTTCCGAGGTTTATGGACTATGAGAAAATGACCTAATGATGAGTAGCGATGACTTTATTTTCCAGATTTTTTTCATCGGAGATTTCATTAAAATTACTAAAATTACTAAAATAAATTCGAGAAAGCGGTAAAAAATCTCGAAAAAAGTTCATTCTGTTGAAATAATTTATGAACGATCGAATCATCGCTCATTTATTTAAATTTTTTAACTTATCAGACGATTTTCTTTGGTATTTGACTATACAAGAAGAAAAAGCCAACCCTTTATATGATTTGTATGACTGCTGTCTTTCGCCCCATAACGATATTGTTTGGTCAAATATTGTCGACAAAACGGTAATCGTGGTTAGATAGTACATATGACTGGTCTGCAAAAAAGAACACATTTCCAAAATGATTATTATTTGCTGAATAGCGAAAACTTTTGCCTATTAGGGTCATACTAGGCCAAACTTATTTTCAAGATACTTATTTTCACATTAATTTTAATCTTCCTAGTATAAATCTATATAATGAATATAAATCGATAACTATTAGTAGTTAGATCGAATCAAATAAACCAAATTTCAACAATAAAATAAATAAAGCGGTTCGTTATTCAGTGGAAATCATGGATTAGCATTAAGCAAAAGTAGTGGAAATAAATGACCATCCGGGTTCTGTAAATAGATAAAATTTTGTAATTCAATATTAAATAGATAAATAAATATTATTCGATAGCTATCATTAGAATTATAGTTTTAAATTGTTTTATAATCATTCTGCGAAAAATTATAAAAAATTGCAGTTGCAAAAAATTTAACTGAATAGAATATCATCGAAATTCGACACTCCGAAAAAATAAAAAACGGCGAAGGGAAACATGGCAACAAGGGAAACTTGTGTATGATGAACGGCATATTTCGAGGAAAAGTAAATAAATTAATGTAAATTTCAGCTTAAATTTAGAGTTATTCAGCTCAAATTCTGGATTATTTTGTAATTCCATAAATATTTAAGGATTAATAACAAATAAATAAAAATTTAATGATTGCCTTCAGTGATAGATGTGATTTTATCGAATAATAAGTAAGTTGAACAAAATTAAAAGAAAATGATAAAAAAATGAAAATAATCAGAAAAAAATTTTGTTGAGATTATAGAACTGGAAGAAAATTATGAAGAAATAAATTATTAAAGCAGAATTTGTTTCACACTCAAACATCCAGATGCATCAAGGTCCATTAGTAGGTTAAGTTTGCTAATTAATGGATTCGTTAATAAGGATGTGGGAAAGACATATAACCACTCATCTTTCTAGTTAGACTCCTTCCACTGGTTGTTAGTGTAATGAATTTCTGCCAGGAAGTCATTTAAAAGTATAGTATGGTAACATTGCTATAACCGTGGATTAAGTTTACTCTCTCGTCGCCTCGCGGAAGCTGAATTACCGATTTTCAAGATAATATCTCGATAGAAACTAAATCAACCCAGATTAAGCCAAAGTCAAAGATTTTCTTAATTTAATTTAGCTTTTTTGAGTAAGTAGAACCAACAAGTTGAATAGAAATTATTGTAAATGTTTGATAAATTTGAGAAAAAAGTGAAAATATTTGCATTTTTTTAAACGCTTTCATGTATTATAAAGTATACATACAAGAGACATTTTGATTTTCGGTGTTCCTAAAAAAATTTTTAAAAAACATTGTCCAGCTTTTTTGATGGATTATTGCGTTGATCGCTTTATTTCCAAAGTTGAATCCATAGTCAAAATAATTTGTAGATCTCTGATATTTTGCCCCGTTTATGTCCTTTGGGATTTTGTCTCATGTTTCCTAATCATATGTGATAGTTCCGACATGTGCGATCCCTGATTCCCTGATTAGAATTTTATCTTTCATCTTGGAACTGTGCAACTTATGTTAAATTGTTCATTCATTTAATTTAAATAAAATATTAAATGAAAAAAATATAAACAAATATCAAATATATAAAACTTAAAAGGGACAGTTCAGTATTTTTATTGAAACAACTTCGGTTTGGTAAAATTAATCAAACATTTTATAAGATGTTCTTTTTGGTTAATAGAACAGATAAATACGTAGAATACGAAGCTGGCAGAAAATTCCAATGTTGCTGCAAAACCCAACTCTACTTAAATTCCAAAGTAAAGTCTCCAGCGAAAGGATCCCACTGTGGAGCAGTTCCAGCCAAACGAGAAATAATGAAAGGATGCAATATTTTCTTCTATATTTATATATTAATAAATTTTATTCCTTCAATAAAATCTACCAAATAAGCCACTTTTTAATCAAATGTTTATACGATTTGTTTAGTTTATATTGGCATTAAGAAACGGAAGAGAGGCAATTTTTTGCGATTTTTATTGTTGCCTTATGAATTAGAAAAATCGATGCCATAGCGATTATTACGATTAAACTGCGACAGTAATAAGCTTTGGATTCAAAATCATGAAACGACGATGCTAATTAATTAATTAATTAGATCACCATAAGCGAAATAAAGATAAACAGGAAGCTGAAATCCCAAAATTTGATATTAAATTCCATGCTTTAGGTAATCCCATTAGGTTTTTATAACGAGCAAATGCATGAGATCGAGGAGTAGCATCTTGCTTTCTCTGGCAATAAACAGCATGCGCCCCATAGGATCCTTTGAAAATAGTCGTTGGTCTAAAAAAAATCTCAATGTAATAGGCACCAGGGGAGCCAGACGAACCTTGTTAAAAAAAAATTTATTCAAGAATGAACTCTTATAAAATGAATACCGACTGATTTATAAATAAGCAAGCAATTTATCGACTTGAAAAAACAAGGAGACACTGATTTTAAAAAAATTTCGAAATTTTTAGAGGTGCTGAAAATTATTATAAATACAAAAATACTGCGGATTGCTGGTTGCTGATTGTTGAAAGTAATGAATCATGATTAATTTCTTTTGCAATCTAGTTGTTGGTTTGATCGACCCTTCTATACTTGAAAAAAATGCGTAAATTTGTGCAAAGCTTCCGCAGAATATTTGATAGCAGCATTGCTATTTTATAACGCTTTTTCTAATATTAAATGAAACTTTTAACGGTTGAATTTCAATAAAAATCAAAAACTGAAAAACAAATTCCTTAAAAACGATAAAAATAAAGGCAAATAAAAGTAAATCATTGAAGCTGATGATTAAGCTAGGTTACCAATAATGAGAGATTTTTTCCACTTGGAGGCAAAACTAGGGATGGAACCGAATTGTTTTCTGAGTCTTCACCGCTAAAAGCAACTGTTTGAGCCACTACCCAACAAGCCAACCCATCTCCAATGTTAATTTCGAGTTAAATGTGGATCCATCTCTTCTATCCTCTCTGATACAAACCAAACCAGAAATGGTGAGTGCTTTAAGAAGAAAGATCTAATAAACTCTCAGTGAAGTACCCAAGTAAATGAACTATTTGTTGAAAGAAAACGTGCTATTTTCAAGTTCCAAAGAAATGGAACGAAAATACCTTCTCTTTTTTTCTTTCCCACATTATTCTTCCTTTTCCGGCAGATGGCTTTAACAGACTCAGTGGATGAGCAGTTTTTCAATCACCAATTGATCTGAGACTCTAGTGTTTTCATCATTGTCTGATGATAGCAACCTTCAGTACTACCGCCAACCTACAACATTCCCACTGCGCCATTCAAACACGCAGAACTACGTTCTAACAAATATATAAGTGTGTGAATCTCACATTCTCATATCCTATATCTACTGCTATTGCTATTCATCCGTATGTGCATATATGTGTTGCAAATTGCGGTGATAATTATGAATTCATTCAATCTTAAATTCTATCTATCTATCTAGGTTCTTCGGAAATATGGTGCAGGTATCTTCAAGTGTCATGCTTTTTGGCATGTCATAGTTGGAGATAGCATAACCAAGTGGTCATTGCTCAGATCTCGTCCCAGGGATTCGGGAGATCACTGGAAATAGACCTCTCATTATGCACGTGCCTACTTATAATTTTATGCCTATGTGGATCAATTAAAAAACTTTTAATTATGCTAAAAACTAGTCGAGCAAACTTAACCAGGAATGATAAGCGCTAACCATTTGCTCACTTACTTATGGTTACAACTTTTTGGTTCAATGAAAAATATACAAAGGACAAGTAAAAATTAAAAAACTATTCGCCTAGCGTTGAATAAATGGAGGACATAAAAAGATTTGAAAATTTATTTTTTAAAGAATCATTAATATAAGAATCGGATGGTATTATAACAAATCATTCCTCTTCGCTCAGTTTATTGGGTCTTTTCGAAGCTTTTCTCAAGAAATTTTCCTTCCTTGAACTGATTTCTTAAATCTTACTGGATAAGATTCTTTTTCCAAAAACATGGTAGCGATTTGTTGGCATTTATATATGCTTTGACTTGGCCGGAAAAACTGATTCGGCGAAAAAATTAAGAATTTCACATTCTTCGATTTCACTTCTATTTTTCTGGAATGGAAGCAGGGAAGAAGGAAGAAATTTTATGTTCACACATTTCGTTCATTCTTATTTGTCTTGAAAAAGTTCTTCAATTTATTTTCAAAATTCCCGAATTATTTGTCAGTTTATTCTATGAATGATTCTTCAATACATTCTTTTTATTAGTCGACTGTAGGATAATAAATTCGAATAATAAATTTAAGTTCGTCAGGAAAAAATCATATTAGGTCAATAATTTCTTATTCTAGAAAAAAATATTTGAATTTTTTTTAAAGGAATGATGAGTGGGAAAATAATATATCAAAACCTCATTCTCCCGTTTGCTAACTATTAGCTCATTCTTTAACTACCTAAACACAGAATATAATATTTTCTAGCGCTAACACTCATTATTTCTGGTTTGCCTGTCACTACTAACTATTTGCTTCAGAATCATTTAACGTGGGAAAACAGGCTGATTTTCAGTAGCATCGGCATTTTATTTCCAGTGGCATATTTTCCTCTCGTTAAAAGACGAGAATCCAATCCAATTTATAATGGTTTAATGACTTATGTATTATGATTAAACCAGAAAATCATTAGGAGTGTCAGTTTTCCTATCATGTGATAATCGAAACCAATAAGTAAAGGCCTTTTCCTAGTAAATTTTATAATGAACGCAGTGAATAATCCATTTTTTTGCTAAACGTTTCGCTATCTCCGATAAATCTCCTTAATCCTTTTTTTCCATCGAAACTTCTAAACATATTGGATCAGAATATTTTGCTTGTGGAAAATCAGCCATTTGAGACAAATGCTGAACGATCGTTGGGTTCAAATTTTCGATGAATCTGCGAAATTATTTTTATTCTTTGTTTAGGGTTTTGAAGATTCAACGAATAGAAAAATGCCAGCCAAAAAAGTGGTTACTTGGTGAATATTATTATAGGAAACCATGTGAAAGTAATTCAGTAACTCTATGAGTTATTTTTTCTCATTATTCCTATGATTCACATTTAGTTCGGAAGCGATAAATTCATGAATGAAAATCTTTATGTACATTCAGAATGATATACATTCTGTTAAGTAAAGATCATTTCTATCTAATACCGCTAGATTGCCAAGTTTCCATGAAAACAAAACCATAACAGAAATTTTTGCAAAGCCTCCCGCGAATTTTGTACCATCTTTTAGTTGGAATCTATTTCTTTAAGTTGTTTTTAATATTTTGTGTGGTAATTGATAATTGATAATTGATAATTTTGATAACAATCTCAAAAAGTAATTTCACGAAGCACTCTATTATTATGTCAAAAAATGCTAAACAATGCTCATGAGGAAAACTTTCTGCATTAAATGCATGGTATTTAAATAAATTAACTACGACAATCCATTAACAATTATAAAATTTATTAAACAAATTCAACAAATTCTATTAAGCATTGAAAAAAACTGAAACCGGATCAAAGAAAATTAGTAAGAAAATTAGCAATTACTATTTATAATAATTATTATTTATTAGAAAATTAGTATTATAAAATCCAACTATATCCAAGGTTATTTTTCAATAATACAACGAAATAATAACAACTTTGTACCATTCGAATATGGGAAATTTTCGAATAGCTGAATAGCTTGAATAGTTTTTCTGAAATCCATAATAATTTGGAACTCAAATGAATAGGAAGTTAATAAAAATGAAGACGAATAACAGTCTGGCTAATTCATTATTATTAATTATTATTACAAACACAAAGATTTTCAACACTATAGAAAGCATCTGCATTAACTCAATTATAATCTTCGAAATTTTGAAATTTAAACTTTACAATTTTTCACTTAAATTCAATCGAATTTAAGAAAAAAAGTTAGGACTCAATTTAAAAAATGCTATCATCACTTGAGAAATCATCACTTTTCTTATCATCACTTGAGAATTGGCAAGTTCAGCTAGATACGTAGCATAATCTGATTTCCTTATGATAACTTTTACCAAAGATATGGTTGTGGAACCACTTGAAATGATGATCTAATCGTCCGGCAAAATTTATTAAAATTTTTATGTTTAGAGAAATTCTTTAAATAAATAAGAACAGATGTGATAGTAAGTGAACTGTACAGATACAGATAAGTGTACAGATGTTCACAATATGTCAAAATAAAAAATCGTTTTATAATCTTTTTTTAAGATTACTTAATGGCGAGAAGGAAAAAATTCATTGGCATTATTGTTGGCTTAACAAGTGATAAAAAAAGAATGATTTAAAAGATTTCTGATTTTTAAATTTTTGCAAATTTTCGGCAAACATAGTAAAAATTAAATCAAAAGGATTTTTTTCTGCTAATTTCTCCAAATTCATGCTTCACAAAATTGATTATAAAAAAAAATTCATTGGGTGTTTCGTTCTTCCTTCCATTTCTTAGCTTTTTATTTTTACGCAGCATAAGGATTTTTAACTTTAATTTTAATTTAAAATTTTGATTTTAATTTTAATAATAATTTTTTTTAAGTATTTCAAAATATATTGTGAAACTGTGTAGGATGCTCGAGTGGTTTCAAAGTTTCAAAAAAATTCTTTCAATAGAGGTCATTATAGGTCCGACTTTTGTTCCATGAGGAGAGTAAACCTATCACTAATAATGGAATACGAGAGGCGCTAAAGACGACCTGCACTTCCAAGGGACTCAGTAGCATTCCTACCAGCGAAACTAAAGGCGGCTAAGAATAAATTTTATTCTTACTTTTAATAAATACCCAATCTGGGTAAAACATCCAATCATTTAAAAGTTTTATTGATAATAGATAATAGAAAGATTTATTGATAAAAGCATAGATTTGAATACAAAATCAACAAGATCAAACAATGCTACAAAAAATAAAACCAGAAAGCTTAGTGAAAACTTCGACATGAAAGAAAAATTTAATAAATTTTAATAAAAATCTTTTCTTCTTTAAATGTATGAAAAAGTCGGCAATATTGATATCTTAAAACTTTCAAAAACAATAATGTTTGATTGATAATTTAATTTGTATATTCCCAATATATTTATTTTGAAAACAGGGGCAATACGGATGGACGCGAATTTCCTAAGGCAATACTACTTTTTATCACTCCAATTTAATACATAATCAAGCACCTCGAAACACATGAAAATATTTATTCTTCAAATAAGAGTTATTTCATTTGGAACCATTTCATTTGGAATCAGCTTTTTTATTTTGTATATTTGTCAAAAATCTAAATTATTTAAAGAAACACGTAAACTATGTTGGATTGGATCGCTTTAAAAACGGAAAAAAAGTGTGCACACGCAAAAAACGCAGTTCGTAAAAGAAAAAAGAATTCAGAACGAAGAAGGAAATAGTTGTTGAAAGAAGAATAATGATAAGATGACAGTTGATCACTACTGACAAGGTGATAAGAAGATAATTTAGAAAGATTCACAAATTTCTTTTTTTTCATTGCTCCGAATCCATCCGAAGTTTTCACAATTGAAGAAGTGCTATTTTAGAATATCGAACGCATTGATCAAATGAATGACCTCATATGATCGGACAAAACCGCTAATTATATACATTGTTTCCGCTGATTAAGAATCAAATAGGTTCATAGGTATTTGAAGAAGTGGTTAGCTTGCTTCGGTCTTTCGCTTAGGTATAACTTAGAAATAAATTTCTGATAGAGAGTGGATTGCTGGTAGTACAGATAGGTCGCGAGCACCATCGGGAGGGATCTTTATTGTGGGTTTACTCCCGACAAATTTACAGATTTCATGGGCGTATTAGACGAGCATCCATTTAAATTAAAAGTAATCGTCTAAATGGTTAAATTTTTATGATTTAATAGCAAAAGGACAATAAAAAATATTTGAATTTCTTCTATTTTATTTCTTCTCACTTTTCTGCATTTCTGATTTTCTAACTAGTTCCACAGTCTTTTCGTGATGAATTTTGTTCAAAATTCTGTAAAATTCTGTAATAAAAATTGTTAGCTTTCATACTGTATTGTTATAACGAAGTATTTGAATAATTTTATAAATGATAAATTCATTGTGATGAGATAATCAACGATTTTCTTCATTCAATGATTACCGCAGTTCTATAAATTTATTCAAGTTTTTAAAAGCACTAATATTATCCGCGAATGCAAATATTCTCTTCAGGTTTGCAGAAAAGTCCTTATTCTCACTGCTATAAATTTTCTTTTTCTTACAAGTAACATAGTTAGAAATTATTTTTTAAGTGATAATTTTATTTCCCGTACCATTTGGCTAAGTATATTTGACCGCCAGGATGAGCTGCTTGGACGAAAGGATCGCCTATGTGAGTTCCCAGCACAGTTCGGAAATATATTTAATGCACTTCGTAAATTCTTAAAATTATGGCTAAAATAAAAAATAGAAAAATTTTGGAAATTTGGTGGGTCACATTGTTGATTTCGATTTGAAATGAGTATTTTCGAAATTCAACCTTTCTCAATTTTTTGTGGATATTATTTCAGCGACTTATTTGAAATCACCTTTCATTAAAAATCCATTGAAAATCGATCGTTATAAATTAGTTCAAATTTTTAGAAATTTTTTTAATAAAGTGATATGATAAAATATAGTATAAACCGGTTAAACAATTCGCGTTGCCATTTTCGAGTTCATCTGATCCACTTTCAACAAAAAAACACCAAAATAACCGATTTATCTATTTGAATTATAAAGTATGGTATATAAAGGATTTAAGGTCAATCAGTAAGTAACAAGAAGCCAAGATTAAGTGGCCAGCGAAAATCATCGCTAATGCAGTAAATCCTGGAAATTTCTCCTTAAACAAACAGAGGTCTCAGGGCGATTACGGTTTCTCGCTACAATCATCTAAGCTCCATATCAAATAAACTGAGAGATTCGAAAATAACTCGGGTGATTGAATTAAAAAAATCACCGAATCTAATTTTCAACCGCAGCTAATAACCAATGAACGACCAATGAATGGAAAATTTTCAAAAAAACGCCCGTTAAAAAACGGTTTTAAAATTTTTTTCGACGATGCGCCCGTTTTGTAAAAAAATTGCAAGTGATTGTTTTGAAGATGGCGAATATGAAACAAAATTTCAAATGTTAAAAAAATTCTGGACGAGGAAGGTCGGAAAGACTGTTGAAAATATTCGCGCTACGCAAGATATGGCACATGATGAACGGAAGCGACTAACCTTCCCGACCCTACAAATTCCTTGTTCATCGATAACATTCATAGGTTCTAATAATAAAATAATGGCTTTATGAGCATTTCATAGCATTTGCTCGCATCAGAAGTTACGTCGAGCTTTCTTTTTCCATGCAACATTCCAAGAAGCGTTCTTCCATTTTTTACGACTCTCCTTAATTGAATCTAATATCACTGATTCGCCTTTTTATCACGCTGATCTATTGTTTACAATAAAATAGTCGCGAAACGGAATAGACGGAATCGGTAGCCTTAATTAAAACGACTATCCAATTTTATCTTTTATGCATTCCGATTCTTCACCGCATTCTTCCTTTCCTATTCCAAATTTCGCATATAACGCACTTTTCAAAAATCTGTTTAGCAAAGTGTGGTGATTCGACGACAAAAATGACTGAAAAACGACTGGATTTATTTCGACCTTTTAAAATCCACAGTTTAATTCACTCAGTACAAACCCTTCACTTTTATTTATCCTATCCTCGATTACTTCAATCGCACGAGGCATGCCAAGAAGGTTCAAATTAGGCAAGGATCCTGCTTTTGCTTAGATAGGAATAAACGTGTCTTTTAAGGAATCGCTGCGACCAACTTGTACTTATATTGGTTTCCCGCCAACAATTTCTGGCCATGTTAACCCAGCAGAGCTAATCTAAACGGGAACTGATGAGCACTAATCACATTAAACTTGCTTACACTTATATTAATGGAGTAAAAAAAAACTAGTGAAAAGTAATCTTTTATATAAAATTTTATTGAACACAACAAACAAATAACTTTAAAACAAAACTTAATCAAAGCAAAAAGAAAAAGTGAAGAGAGAAATGCCTAGGGCAAATTATCACACTCGACATAGTAATGATCAACAATAACGAGGCACTTTATACAATAAGTTAGGATAATTCCAAAAAGAGCCACAAGTCTGGAAATAATTAAAAATTTTGAAATTTATTAAGAGTTTACAAGTGTTAAAGCATGAAATGCAAAAAAAAATAAAAGCTCCAATTTTTCTACATACAATGCTGAGATACAAAAATCCAAATAATTTAAATTTTTTCCAATAATTTCCAAACCATATTTTCGATGATGAGATTGTAAAAAATCTTCAAATCTATTTATATACTGCTTTTTTCCGGAAAAAGCTTGAAATTAATTCAATTAATAATGACGTAATTATTTCTCTCTTGAAAATTCCCAGCTTTCAAACAGCTTTTTTGTTAAGCGACTATAGGAGATCATTCCCTCGCTTTTTACTTTTAATGGTATAAATAAAAAATAAATAAGAAAGATAATATCCCGCAACGAAGCAACTTGCGAAAAAATTCAACCAATTGGAAAAGATAAAAAAGCAAGTTCAATGAAACTGAAAAAAATTTTAGCATCAATATGTAGCCAAAAATTACAAAACCAGAATTACAAAATAAGTCTTTCCAGCAATTCGGCGTACGATTGTGCAATAGAATATTTACGAGCAAATTCTTGGATAGCATGTCTTCGGCGAGCATAAACCATCTGGTAACTGCAAAATAATGAAATTATTGCATATTTAGTAAAAAATAAGATAATACAAATAAGTATAAAATGCAGTGCATATGACATCACTCTCACTATAAATAAGATTTACGTACCATTCAATCCATACGAATATGGCTCAACAGCTTTTAAAATGACTGGCTTTGAAACTTAGTTCAGTATTAAAAATGTTTACTTTTCCAACTCCACCGTTTTTCGCCTTGTTATACTGATTATAGTCCACCTCAAAAGTGCTGGAAGCGTGCCGTTTGATACAACACAATCATCGAATAAGGGACCTGGCAATCCGCACCTGAATGGTAGGACAAATCTTCAGGAAAAAAATAACAAGAGAATAGCAAAAAATTATATGCAACTCAACTGAACCTATTCAAAAAGATTTATTCTTGAATAGAACTCCCGTAAAGAATTTACAATGTTATTTGGAAAGATTTTAAAAAGATAACAGTCGGAAGAATGCAACAGAAAAAAAAACTTTGTCCAATCTCCACTTATTCGCACTCTAACAAGACCACTTTCAATCTGATATAGAAATATTGCAACATAATCTGGTCTACATGACGAATTGTTGATCAATGATAATGAGCCATCGTAGGTATAAGCAAACATCTCATCTGAAACATAATATCAATTGGCCTTGACGAAGTAATAAATGGCACCACATTGCTTCTATTAAAACCAATTCAAAATTTTTCCACCTTAACCAATAATAAATTGATTTTCTTCGCAATCAGAAAAAATTTTAAATTTAGGAAAAAATACCAGTTGGAAAATGACGTATATCTTCATAATTCTCCAGCCAAACTATAAAAATTCTCTGATCGACATTGCGCTTGATGAAGGAATTTCGACGACCTGAAAAAAAAGAAAAAACTGAAAATAAATCACAAAGATTAACCAAACCCTTTCGTAATAAAAGTTGAATCCATCTTTTTCTGAAAAATGAATATTTACCTGGCACTTCAGTCGATAAACTCATAGCCCGCTTGCTTTTTGTTTCATCTGTATTGAAGCAATTTTGTTGGTTAACTGCATTATTCAATTTTTCTCCATCAGAATTAGTCATGGTTTTTGCACCTTGGATTTTAAGATCACTTTGTTATTTTTTCAATATATTTTAAACTACGAAAATCAGTTGCTTTTGCTTTAATAACTGTAGACTACAAGCAAAAATAAATAATGCAATAATATGGATCGTATAACTTTAATCTGCCAAAAGTATTTTCACAACTAATCAGATAACAATCTCAAAACCTATAAAAAAAAGGAACTGGGCCAGGGACAATAAAATAAGATAAAATTAATGTTTTTTGATATCTGATATATTAAGCCCTAAATAATACGTGGACAAAACTTGCTATAAAGCACGTATACCTCCTTTCGCAATTTCTCAAAAAAAAGCAACATAAGCAAAGCAATATTTTAAGTGATACCTACCCAGTGAAATAAAACTGCTACAACCAGATGATAAATACCTATGCAATACTTTCAAAAAAAAAATTTCGATAAACTCACGTTGCATTTTACGAGAATATTGCACAGTACTTTTGTATTCTTCAGGTATCGTAATTATTCTATCAAGATATTCGTCATTTGATTGATGAAAACAGCGTTTAGATGGCATTAACGTGGCAATTTCAATATGAGCATCAGACCACCATAAGCAATGTGCATGACCATCAAGAATATAGTGGTCTTGAAGTTTCTGTTGATCCGTAGGTCCTATGGAGAGTAGAAAAATTTCTCTATATTTTCACCTTATATTTCACTTTTCAATTTTTCTTTTCTTACCTTACAAATTAAATGATCCCAGTTATAAAATTATATCACAGTAACCGAATTCATTTTTGTCCTTTTCCTTTATATCCTTTATGCCTTTCCTTTACCACTGCATAATAGGAAAAAATAAATCATAGAAAAAGAAATAAGAAAAAATAAAAAAAGATACTGCGATCTGAAGAAAATGCAGTTGCCCAATTACCAGTCCAGTGGGCATGTGATTTCACATCAACACCATCGCCTAACATGGCTAATAATGCACAGAATTGTTCGTTGGTATTCTCTAGAGTCATCTCAAAAAAAAATGAAACTCCAGCAGTCTATTTCTTTCTAACTGAATCTTACAAATCATTTATATATTTATATTTAAATACCCTGATTTTTGGGCCTTAAACAGCTTTCCTTTAAAATTTAGCCACCTCGATGGAATATTTTCAAAAATTTAGCCATAATTCTTCGCTAAAAAATAAAATTTCGAAAAATTTTACGGCATTCTCTAATATATCAAGGGCATTTCGTTGACCTTCTTTAACGTAGAAAACAAATGCAGTCTGTAATAATTTGGTTGGACTACGATCGACCATTTCATGCAACACTCGGTAAAATTCATTACTGAAATTTTAAACAATTTTAATTATTTGAATATTATTTTATTACCTTTCATATTAAATGAAAAAATTACTAACTTTATTTTGAAAAAATTGAGAAAAGTTTTGAAATGTCTCGATTTCTAACTTGCAGATGTTTCTTGAATAATATATTACGTAAGTTTACCTTTCGGTAGAATTAAGCATAACAAAATCTCCATTATCATAGGCTTCTTGAGATATAAATCCAAGATCATATAAAAGAACACGACCAGCATTACAATCATCTGGTGGCCTAAAGCAAAATAATACATTCTGCAAAAATTTAATTAAATATCATAAAAAATTCGAGCAATTAAATAAAAATTAATGAAATTTTTGAAAAAGATTAAAAATGAGAGAAAATCTAAGAAAATCTTTTCCACAAAAAAGACGGGATAAACTAACAAATGAGGTTGTACAGGTTTTGACAATTCAGATGCCAAAGGCTCTTTTAACCAAACATTTCGAGCATCAGAAGCTCGACTGAAACTTTCTCCATGCGACATATTTTTTCTTATATCATTAAGTTCCTTGATAATACGATCGGTTTCGGTAGTTGGTTGTATGGGTGGTATAATTGTATCCCTAAAACAAAGCAATAACTTATAAAAACATAAAAACGGATTGAAAAAAGAACAAAAACAAAAATAATAAAAAAATCTGCACGTACAATTTGCAAAGTGGTCTGTTAAATTCATGTGGGATCTTAAAAATTTTTGGACTTTTCGATTCTTCTGTCTGTTTGATTGAATTAATTTTTATGTTAATCATATCAGTTTTCTGAGCTGATTCCGGTTGACTTTTGTTAGGTCGAGAATATAAATGGGCTAAAACTGATACTGCACACTGATGAGGAGTTCGGATAACCATAAAAAGTGAAGGTCGACCTAAAACGAAGAAAATTGTCCGTTATCCACTAAATTTCACTTGATTCTACCTTAAAATCAAAAATCTTAAAGTGCAAGTTAAATTTGACATAAATTTGGAATTTGAATTTCACTAGTTCTATATAAGGCAAAATAATATAATTCATAAAGCTTCATACAGTATTTATATACAATATTTTCAATATCAATTTTTATAAACTATATATGTAGTATACCTTGAGAAATAGATTTATGCTTGGTCGCTTCATGAATAGAAACTAAAGTTTGCTTTTTTATAAGAAAATGATGAAATGCCGTGGTATCAATAATTTCAGGACCATATATATGCAAAAGCATTCGTTCATCAATCTCGAACTCTCTGCCTTTACGTCCCTAAAACATAATAAAAATCATTTAAAGAATTAATGAAATTAAAGAAATTAAAAGTTTCATAAAATATATTATATTAAGTACCATCATGAGTAAGTGCTAATTTTGTTCGAAGAGCGGTTGTGCCGAAAAGATGTTCTGCTCATTAATCGATAAATTAATAAAACGATATTTACCAATTTATCGTTATTATTTTATTATTTATTTACCATTTACTGTTACGTACCATTATTATTACGTAATAATATTAACTTCTTCTACGAATCAGATAAGTTTTTCTCCTTAAACTTTATGTTATTCGTTAAAATACCTTAAAAAATTCCTTTTCTAGATTTAATTGTCTTTATCTTTATTTTTGTCCTTGGCAGGAATAAATCATGATATCAAAATCCGAGTGAGTCCAGGAGATCCATCTATATCTACATCCCCAAGTTATTCTAAGGTGAAAGCGTCAGGTCTGCTTGGCACGATGTCCACATCTTCCGATGCGCATGAAATTTCTAGCCCGGTGGTACCATGCGATAAATATACAATACGGGAGAAACAATAATAATAAAATAATTCCAAGGCTTGAGCATAGGATATGCTCACGAAGATGGATAATTACTCAAAACTAGTCAAGTGAGATGAAAACCTATCCGCTAACATTCTGTAAGCGTGGCGAAATGCTGGCTATAGCTACTTTGGAAATTATGGATGTTGCAAGTCAAGCAATCATTGTCCACATCTTTTCTAAATAGCGATTGTCATGTCTGAAAAGGCTCGAATCCGCTCTGGTAGAGTGGAAGCCAGTAAATAATCGTGTGGTCTACGCGTTTCAATTCTGTAATATTTCGGCCATCAATATACATGTTCCAACTTTAAGCATAGATGACGCGATAAGGACAAATTTTATACAGGGCTTCAACTATTAACAACATATCTACCGAGAGGTGACATGGTCATAATCTGGGGAGACTGGAATGCGCGCGTAGGTCATGATGCTGTTATGATAAATTCGGTAACTGGCATAGGGATTCAGTGCGCCAATGGAGAACGCCTTTTTTCTTCTGCCGAACAGCATGAACTCGTTGTTATTAATACATGCTTTCTGCATCAAAGGAAACATCTAATCAAGTGGAACTCTCCGGATAACCAATATTCCAATTAGACTATATATTAATCAGTCGCCGCTGGAAGAGTTCTGTAGTTTTGGTAATTGTTCTTATAGGAGCATTGAAACTGCTAATAACCAAGGATAAGACCATTTATGGTTCGAGCCAAGATTCGCATAAGCCGTAAGAAACAACGCATCACAAGATCTTTCAATTATCTTAGATTAAAAGATAAAGAAATATCAATTTAAATGATATCTCTCGAATAGCGGATGAATATTGGTCCCGATTAAAAACATACTTACACGCTTAAAAATTCAACCACTTCGGTACTAGCATATACTAGTAGGAAATACGCTAGTTGGGTGTCTGAAGCAACAATCCAACTGAAAAAGCTGCTAAAGTCGAATATCAGAAAATTCTGATTATCAGGATATTTCGAAGAATTACAACAACAGCAGTACAGCGGGACAAAAATCACTGTTGGAGTGATATGGTCTTGAGAATG